GTCCTGCGGGAGTTCGCGGGCGGGACGAGCTTCGGCTCCGAGCCTCTGGCCGCCTTCCCGGGGCCCTCGGGCGCTTACGAGGAGACCACCCTGTGAGGGGCCGGAGGCCAACGAGGCACACCCGCGGAGCGGCCCGCGCGCAGGCCGCGGGGCAGGGGGCTCTGAGCTTCCAGTCCTGGGTGCGGTGCCTTTCCCTCAGCCCCCGTCCCACGGCCCCGGGCTGCACTCCCACCCTGGCCCTTGAAAGGGCCGGGGCGTCCGAGATGGCACGGCGATGTGGGGGGCTCCAAGTGAGAAGAGCAGTGGGCGCAAGAGGGAAGGGTAGGGGGCGGCCCCCCTGAGGACTGCGGCCTGCCCGGGGCTGTGTCGAGACCAAGCAGTGGCCATGGCAGGCGGTGATATTTTTCTCCATCGAACGTGGGTGGCCAGGGGGACAGGTGGCTTAGGAGTTTTGCAGCAAGGGAGGGGAAGCCCTTGTTTGGAGGGGAGGGGAGGGTACTCGAGGGCAGAGTTGTCGTCTAGGTCGCTGGTGTATTTAGCTGACTACTTCGTCCCATTCCTCAGTGGACGGTTTCAGGGACCCTTGGTCATTTGACTTTGTCCGGGAAGTGTTCAGAGATGTGCGCGTGGCCGATGGAAGCCGGGCCGGTCCCCACAGAGAGTTTCTCCCTCTCCAGGGGACAGAGGCGGCGATAGGAAAGCTTCTATTGTCAGTCTACTGTTCCCCCCCACACACCCCAATCTCATGTATGGCCTGAAGAATCTGGGAAAAGGAGAAAAAGAAACCAAATTTGTGGCCCCGGGCAGACAGACGAGTTGCAGGTGCTCCAGAGCCTGGAGCGAGTTTGAAGCCTTATTGTGAGAGTCGCTCACTCTTGGCCCGGCTTGGGCCCCGGGACCAGCCAGGCGCTGGTTACATCGGCTTGATTTCGTCCGGGCTCCTTCGGCGCTTTGGTCTTCTGACCTCCGGCGGCTGAAGGCCACACACTGAAACACTCAGGAAGCAGGTGGACACACACAGCACGTCCCGTAGGCGTCCCCGCTTTACAGTTAACAACATGGTCGAAAGGGCTGAGGCTGGGTGCAGGATCTCTCCCCACATTCCATAAAGAGGGCCCCTGAACTCTGCGTTAGTGGTGACTCCACCTTGTTTCTGTTTCGATCCTAGCCCTAGGGAGCAGAGGATGGAGCCCCAGGCGGGTCACACTTAACTGGTGATGCCTCCGAGCCTATGCTCAGTAACCAAACGGAGCCTTCAGCTATGCAAGGCCCCCCCGGAGGGTACTCCACCCTCTGGGCAGCGTTTGGGAGGCACTGGCAGGCAGCTGAGGTGGGTGGGGGTCACGTGAGACCCCTCCCTGTATGCTTTGTGCAGGGCCAGAAAACAGAGTTGAAGCAACTGCATTCCTTTTTAGACCTAGTTCCTTCCGTTTTAGCGTAGACAGGGCCTTGGGGGCTGAGAGCCAGCAGCCAGGCTGCAGGGGCTGGGGGCGGGTAGGAGGCTCTGTAGTGGTGGGTGGGCGTGGGCCTGGGTGGTGGTGCTGAGGATTAGCCGGGCTGGGAGCGATTGCAGTGTGGGTGGGTGGTGAGGAGGGCAGGGGCCTGGACGGCGGGGAAGACCTCGCTGCCCTGTGGGACGTGTCCAGCTCTGTTCCTGACGCCAGTTTCTCAATTCCAGGTGCGACAGAAGCCTCAGAAAGGGCCAAGGGGAAGGGGGTGCTGGGCGGGCCAGGGGTTGGGGGACCTCGAGTCTGGCCCTGCACTCAGTCCTCGTGGCCCGCCCTGAGTGCGGGCCTCCATGCTGCTCTGGGGCCCAGCGGCCTCTGCCCTGCCGCCGTGGGCAGGAGGCCCTAGCTTTAATAAAGACTGGAGAAATGAGCTTTCTGACTGATTCCATGGTGTTGCTACTGTTTTCCGTGCCCACCTGCCCAGGAGGCTTTGCAGCGGCTCAGGCTCTGTCGTTTTCTTTTTGCTAACTAAGGCAGGGCCAGAATGGCCCAGGGGAGCCAGGCCCAAGACAGGCTTTTGCCTACATCCCCCAAATTTTACTGGAAGTCCCCGAAGCGTCCCTCACGTTGCCATATACTCCTTGTAATGCTTGCACCTGTCTGGGGACCTTAATGGGTTTGGGCTTGTTTACATCCTTCTAGTACTCAGAGAGCCAGGCGCATGCCAGGGTCACAGGCCTTTCCCCAAAGGCCCAACGTCCTGTCGGTTTATCCAGGGCTCATCTGCTCCCAAGCCAGGGCAAAGCACAAATGCCCCCAATGCCCCCACAACCCGCCTTTAAATTGACTTGCGGCCTTTTTATTCTCACCGTGTCATATCCATAGGATCAGAAATGCCCCTCCCAGCCTTTCTCCGTGGATTTGGGAAAGATGAAGTTAATGCTCTTTTCAAATGTGGCTTGGAAGTGTCAGAACAGAGTGATCCGATCTTGCCATTTTCCAATATAAAGGGACTTTTGAGTGGCAGATAGATGGTAAGGCCACGTTTAAAGATGGTCGGCCCCGAGGATCTTAAAGTCTCTGGAAAAGCTACATTATTCCAAAACCTTAGATTCTCTAGTCAAATTGTTTATATGTGTCTCTGTGTGTGTGTGTATATATATATATATATATATATATATACAGATACATATACGTATATATATATGTGGAGAGAGAGAGAGAGAGAGAGAGGCAAGCTCTGGTTGTGTAGTGCCTAAGGCATTTGACTGCTAAACTGGAAGGCTGGAGGTTCAAACCCACCAGCCACTCCTCGGAATGAAGATTGGGCACACTACTTCCATAGTGATGTCGCCTTGGAAACCCAAGGAGAAGTTGCTTTGAGTCAGATCTGACTCCACGGCAGTGGGTTTGGTTTTTGGTTTATATGTACACACACACGTATACACACACACACATAAATGAAGGGAAAAAAAAATAGAGGAGAAAAGCGGACGCTCTTCGTAGTTTTGAAAACCATATTAAAAAATATAGGAGAAAACCAGACGCTATATGTAGTTTTGAAAACATTGAGTCAGATCTGACTCATAGCAACCTCTCCTTGGGTTTCTGAAGTGGTATCACTGTGGAAGTAGATTGCCCAACCTTCCTTCTGAGGAGTGGCTGGTGGGTTTGAACCGCCAGCCTTCTTGTTTGAAAGGACATCAAAATTTCCGGAGTCCTGATTCATTTTGCACGTTTACCTCCTATTATTGCCAAAAAGAGCTCTGGTGGCATAGTGGTTAAAGCATTCAGCTGCTAACAAAAGGCTGGTGGTTCAAACCCACCAGCCTCTCCATAGGAGAAAAATGAAGTAGTCTGCTTCTGTAAGGATTTACAGCTTTGGAAATCCTATGGGGCAGTTCTCTGCCCCACAAGGTTGCTGTGAGTTGAAATTGACTTGTTGGGTCAATCATTGCCAAGAGGAGCCATGGTGGTGCAGCGGTTAAGCACTCAGCTGCTAACCAAAAGTTAGTGGTTTGAACCCGCCAGGAATTCTTCAGGAGGAAGATGTAGCAATCT